AAACTTCAGTAAATATTTAGTATTAAAAACTTGGAAAAATGAGGCCTTAAAATGTTTACTGCAATTTCACAAAATTGAAAATATTTCAAAAACGGTAAGGTTTAAGTGCGATAAATCTTAATCAAATTTACCATTATTTTAATCTTAGAAACAAAAAATAATATACAGGGTGTTCTATTTAAAAAAATACAACTTTGATATTTTTTATTTATTTGGGACACTTTGTATCTTGTAACAATATTTTTAAATTGTAGCTCTAATAGTCCTTCAACAAACCCAAAACCGAGGGGTAAACCACTCGTGGAAATCATTGTACATTTTCCTGGGAATACCATGGCAATCAACTGGGAATACATGGAAATCCCTGAGAATCACCTGGGAATATCTGGAAATCACATGGGAATCCCTGGTAATCACCTAGGAATCAACTGGCAATCGCTGGGAATGATGTGGTAATCGTTGGGAATCACCTCATCATTCATAACTTTGGAACCAAAACAGATACAAACATGCGGTTTTCAGATTTATGATTTTAACGAGGATTTTATGTTTTATGAACTCAATCTTCAATTCTTCAAATTCAGAATTTTCTAATGAAAACGGATACAAATATGCGTTGTTCAGATTTATGTTTTGATTTAATAACAAGAAAAAAAAAGGGAGTAGGGATAGGTAAAGGGTGTAAAGGGGGTAAAAACTCATAACTTTGGAATAAAAAATGATACGACCTTGCGGTTTCAGATTCATGACTTTATGTGGTAAAAATACAATTTAATAAAAAAAAGAGGGTGAGTGAGGGGTGTGAAGGGGGGAAATTCACAATTTTGGAACCAAATCAAATATGAATATGCGGTATTCAGATAGATAATTTGATCTGGCGAGAATACAATATAACTCGCAATTTAATCAACGAAAACGGGTGTAGGTGGGTGAGGTGTGTAAAGGGGGTAAGTTCAAAGAGCAGTTAAAGAAGTAAGGGGTGGAGAGGGTGTTTTTGATTAAGACCTCGATTAAGACTAAAAAATATAAAATAAAATACACGCCATATAAAATCGCGCCACGATTTTATATGGGACTTAAAAATATACAGGGTGTCCCAGGCTGAGCGTGCATTAAAAGTTTCTAGAGAACCACAATATCTAGATCGGAGATTTTTTGTACATCATTGTTTTACAACGAGATCTATCGATCAAAAATATTTTCAATATGGCGGCACTTCCAGAAATACCGGAAGTTGACCGCAGCTTTCTTATTTTAAACGGGTTCCCCCATTTTTTATTACATACTAAAATTCTCTGTAAAATTCTATCAATATTGATGTCAAACACTCTATACCTACCATTAACCATTTGTGAGAAAAAAAATATTTAAAATTTCTGGACGAAAAAACAACCTGTCAAAAAATTTTGTATAGCCTAAAAGTCAAATTTAGTGATTAACACAGCCACTGTGATATAAAGAGAAGATATGTGGCTATCTATTTCAAAAATTAAATTATTCAAATGTCATATAATAATATGGCGGTAGCTGTCATGAAGTTGAGCGATTAAAAAATTATCATAAATCATTTTTTTCAAATGAAAATCCACTTTTTTTATATAACTAATAAAAAGATTTTTCAATTCGTTACTTTTTAGCTATACATGTTCCTATACCTAAAATAAATCGTTTTTAAGTTATTTATGATTTAATTTGAAAACGTTGATATCTAATAGTTGATATTATTAATAATATTCCATATAATGATCGAAAAAAAGTAGCGCAAAGTTGGCTCGAAAATGATGCTGCTTTTTGAACAAAGCCTCACAATATGACATGACCAGATCTATTGTTTTACATGTCTTGACGTTTAAAGTCATAGGCTACTGGTTAATATCAAGAAAAATATACGCTTTAAAACTAAATTTTAAATAACTTAAAAACGATTAATTTTAGGTATACGAACATGTATAGTCAAAAAGTAACGAATTGAAAAACCTTTTTACTAGTGAAATAAAAAAAAGTGGGTTTCCATTTGAAAAAAATGATTTACGATAATTTTTTAAACGCTCAATTCTATGACAGCTGCGGCCATTACTATATGACATTCGAACAATTTAATTTTTGAAATAGATTGCCACATGTTTTCTCTTGATGGCACAGTGGCTGTGGTAAACACTAAATTTGACGTTTAGGCTATACACATATTTTTGACAGGCAGTTTTTTCGTTCAAAAATTTTTAATATTTTTATTCTCAAAGACGGTCAATGTTAGATATAGAGTGTTTAATATAAAGATTCATAAAATTTTACAGAGAATTTAAGTATGCAATAAAAAATGGGGGCACCCCTTTAAAATAAGAAAGTTGCTGTCAACTTCCGGTATTTCCGGAAGTGCCGCCATATTGAAAATATTTTTAATCGATAGATGTCGTTGTAAAACAATGATGTACAAAAAATCTCCGATCTAGATATTGTGGTTCTCTAGAAACTTTTAATGCACGCTCAGCCTGGGACACCCTGTATATTTTTAAGTCCCATATAAAATCGTGGCGCGATTTTATATGGCGTATTGTGAAACTATGATGTACAAAAAATCTCCGAGCTAGATGTTGTAGTTCTCTAGAAACTTCTAATGCACGCTCATCCTGGGACACCCTGTATACCTAATGTGCCATTAACGTTAAATCTAGGCTGTAATAAACAGAAATGGGCCAAATTGCTTTTTACTTTTTAGGGCAATTTGTAATAAAATCGTTTAACTTAAAAATGTTTTTTTTATTTATCTTTTATTTTTGGAATGGATTATATCAATAATCTACTAAAGGGCTTGAGCTAATACCACAATATCTGATAACTCTACTTTTACATAATGGATTGATAGCATATTCCCTTTCCCAACTGAATATTGAAGATCTTTGTAAATGAAAATCGAAGATGAAAAAATTGAAATATATGCAAGATATGTATTGTTCAAAGTTGGGCTATGATTCTCCTTCTTATCAAATTAATCTTCCATCCGTAGAACTTATTAAGCACACGATCGAAAAAGCCAAAGAAGATGCAATATCAAGTGCTAGACGGTACGGTAATGAATACGGAATGTTGGTTAAATGTTGACTTACCAACTGAACAAATTCCATGTAGTACAGAACTTGAAGAGGAAGAAGAATTAGATGACAGTGTTATAGATTATAAAAATCGAAAGATCGAGGAAAAGATCACTTTCGAAACCTCACTCGAGACCGGCTTGCCAAAAGAAGACTCAGATTTTCTTTAGTACACATCAAAGTTTAACAATTACGATTCGCTACAATTAAAGGATTTTTCAGGACAAAAAAAATACACAAGTCATGTCTAGTGCTGACGCTTAATGATGGAAAAACCAGAATACTAAAAAAATCAACTTTAATTTGGTTTGGGGCTCAGGGATTGGAAGCAGGGGGGCGTTTATCGATACTGATCGATTATTAAGAGTTAAGGCGATGCCCTTAAAAACATTCAAAAAAAACTGTAAATCAGAAAAGTTTAAAATGAAGTTTTTACAACATGACAAGGATATTTTTAAATGGCCCAAAAAAGACTATATACAAGAAGTTTATCGACGTTTCATTTTTTATGGACCTATCAAATTATGTGGCTGTGATCCGTTTACTATAATGAGAAACCATTTGGTTGCAATTAACAAAAAATACAAAGATTTTAAATGTTAATAATTTATCTATTGAGATACCTACTATTTATCAGTTTCGTTCTTTTTTTTAAATAGGTAATAATGTTTTAGTTTTTCTTAGCTAATGTATTTTTAATGCCATGTTCCTATTGCAGTACCTGCCTTAATATTTTTAGTACAATGTTTTTTTAATTCTGTTTAACTTACGAGCCAAATATACCTACATATATTATGTATGTTTTAGTTTTACTTAGTTAATGTATCTCGCAATTTCGCATGTCATTCATAATAATTTTCTTAGTTTCAGTATATTTTAACTATTATAACTTGAAATTTTTATAATGAAATATAATGAAATCTTTAAGAAACCATGCTTATGGCGTAATGAAGAAATATTTTTTAAAATTTCTGATGTTGTTTTAAAATATTCATTTTCTTTCCTAGATGCTGCTAGTACATATTTTTCGATCACATAAAATGAAAATGAACACTTAAATATTGTTTTCGTAATTAAATTGACTGGGAATCAGGTGATTGCTTAGGAAATCAGCGAGGAAATCAGGGAATCACATGGGAATCGTTAAAAAACTGGGAATCACTTGGGAATCATATAAAAATACTTGGCAATTAGTGGAAATCAGTGGTAATATTTGGGAATACATGGGAATAACTGATGAGTGATTGCCAAATATGGAAATCATTGTACATTTTTTAACATGGTGGTTGACCCCTCGCCCAAAACTTACAATTTCCAAAAATTTAATCGTTTAGCTACAATACTCCGTGTCGTATGTGGTGAATATCCCTGTATATTATTTTATTTACTCAGTAGTTTTTACAGGTACAGACAAAAAGTTATATACTCTTCAAAACAGTTAAAACCTTTGACACATGTAGGTGGCGTCCCCTACAAATAGGAGTCATATTGACATCAAAATCAAAGTTATCATGCCAAAAAACTCCTAAACACCAATTTTCATCCAAATATTGACGTCACTTCAGAAATTATTTGGAAAAAATCGAAATAAAAATGATACTTCTCTAGCCTGTATCTCCGAAACTAAGCATTTTAGGACATACATTTATTACGAACTTTTTTACTTATTTTTATGTGCAGAATATGCTGCCGAAGTTTCCGGAATACAGTTCGGACCATGCACCCTGTATTATTTTTATTTAACTTTTCGAGGGCTGCAACTTTTTCGGAAGGCGTTAGGGCATATGTTCATAAGAACCAAAAGAACTTTTTGTTTTATTTTTATCTGTAGAATCAGCCACCAAAATTAGATATACTATTTTCTTGACACCCTGTATTATATAAGTTAAAAAGAACTTTTTGCTTTTTTAGAGTTACAATAATTCCATAAGGAACGAATCATTAAGTAATAAGTAATCCATCAAGGTTTGTAATAGAATAACAAGATGAAGAAGAAAAAAAAACATTTCTAAAGAGGGACATTAGAAACTCGAAGAATTTTATTGAAGCAGAGGTGTAATAAACACTTAATACATGTGTGACCAACTTAATTATTAATATATAAATATGTTTTGTATGTATTAATTTATAATTAATAAATAATCCAAAAAGTGTTTTTTGTTTATGTAATTATATTCAACATAGGTTTCTACTATGAATAATGTGTACAGTCTGACCGCAATGACATTATTTGACTGGTAGTATTTTTTGTCATTTCTTGGATGTCATTTGTTGAAATCTCCTCTTTTCCCACTAGAGGGACTTTAGTAATAGTCCCACCAATAAACGTATTTTTTTATATTTTGTTTAATCCAGTTGGCGCTTGAGGCTGGGCCCTTACATGCAATTTCGAGTCGGCCCATTATTTGATCGGCCAACTTGACAATCGCGTACACATATGCAATCAAACAGTCGAAAAGCATTTGACAGCCGTACACCTGCTTTATACTAAGGGCTGGCAAAGGTTAGTCTTGGGTCGAGATTTCCGTATATAAGAAGAGTACAATGCGTTTATAATGTACTGAACAAAGAGAGAACAGTAAACACGTTGCCAAACGTATGTAATAAACCGAGAAACTGTGCGCATTGCTAAGAGACGTGGTAGGGGATATAGCAGATTTGTCGCAGTTGACTGGTAGACCCATGTCGTCGACCCAATCAGTACCTCTGTCAGTACTTAAAGTTCTAGGGAAAGGTGTACATCATGCGTTCAGCTTCACGATTTAATTACGTGAATCTTTATTTGTTTATTTATTAACGAGTCGTTGTAATTTTCCCTATAGCTTGAAAAATTTTAAGTGCAAGTTAGAAACACTTGCATTTTTGGTAAAATAAGTGGAATTGAGTTGGTGTTCGACAGTGGTCGCGCTATTAAAACTCTAAATTCAAAAATCGATATCTCGAAATCAAATAGAAATAATTGATTGTAGTTTTTTTCAAAAACCTTCTTAACATTTCTGCTACATTTTCTTCGCAGACAGTATGTGACAATACCGGTCTTCAGAATAAAATAAAAAGTTTCAATATCTAAAGTGGTTCTTAAGTTATGGCGTGTTACGTGTTAAAAAGTTGAGTTTTTAAATTATCGCAATTACTGATGTTTTCTCGTTACGAAAAAATGGACACTCTAACGATAACCTTATAATTCCATTTCAGATGCTCAGAAACATATCTAATGATTTTATCTAGTTATCTTTTCGAAAAAAAGTCTTTTAAAAATAAGCGGTTTGCGATCGTGATTTTACTTTACTTGATAGGGAACGCCATCGTATTGGCAACGCCGCAACAGCACACCGTCGCATTTCTCTCACTCCGACTTAATAAGATCCCTATGCGATTTACTTCCACACATGTAAATACCGACCCAAAAGTAACAGTTGCCAGCCCGGTATACGAATTTTCTGTTTAAAGCTTGTCAGACCAAGGAGACCACCTACTCGTCGACCGGTTTCGGAGTTATACTCCATCATCACTCCATTATGAGTCTGCCGTTATACTCCATCATCATGGAGTGATGATGAAGTATAACTCCCAATGGGTGATCTCCTTGCAAGCGCGGTTTTAGGGAAGGGGTAATGGGCCCACTAGTGATGTAAAAATTCTAAGTAATCGTTACAAAGTAACAGTTACTTTACGAGGACTCGAAGTAACGCTTACTATTTGAATTTAGGACTCGTTACTCGTTACTAAGCTAATTCGTTACTTTTGCGCTGGCAGTAATCGTAATACCTGGAAATACACGAACCGAGGACTCGATACTAAAATATTCCTTACTTATATTAATTAAATTAATAAAATATTATACATATTATTAAAAACATATTATTCAGTACTTGAATACCGAGTAATGAAATTATCCTATTAAGCCCTTACACTAGAAGAAAGTAGAAACCTCTTATATGTTAAACCGAGCAGGCAACGAAGATCGCCGAGCACAATAAGTAACAAACTTACAAGTCAAGCCCAAGTCTTCCAACCTGTACAAAAAAAAACGATTATCTATAAAGTAACGATACCAAATACAAACGTGACGAGTAACTAAAGTAACGAGTCCTATTACCAAAAGTAACTAGTAGTAACGAGTCCATATAAGTAACTAAAGTTTACATCACTATTACCCACCCCCCGAGACCGATTAAACTTCAAAAAAAAAGTTTTTAGCATGTATTTTTTTTTGCGTGAAATAAATAGTTTTTTATGTGTAACAAATAGTTTTACACGGAAATATATATTTTATACACGCAAACCCTATTTTTCAGGTGTAAAAAGTATTTGTTAATCCCCCTAGAATCTTGTTCTGAAACCGCCCTTGTCTCCTTGGCCTGACAAGAGTTAATAAGTATATAAAGCAGGTGTACGGCTGTCAAAAGCTTTTTAAACTATAACTCTGCTAAAAAAATGCGCACAAATTCTCTAGCTTACTTGATACATTGATATGATATAGGTACCGCCAGATAATCAAACCTTAGAGCCCGACAATTCACGACAAGCGAGACGCTCAATTCTTTAACACAGGCGCACTGTGCAGGCCAGTTTGCGCAGTTTAACTGCGCCGTTTTACATTAATTATTACTTTTTAAGACTTTGTTTTTTTTTTTCTAAAAGAGCTTCTTTAGTTATTAATATTTTTAATAATTGCTTCTCTATAAGCTACCGATTCAATATTCTTTAGTTTTTCCAATATACAGGGTGAGGTTTCTACGATGTTCTCTTTGGGTAGCTCGGAAACTACTGGGTATAAAGAGTCGGTTAAATGGGGAAAGAATTGCAGTTTTGAGGGGTCACAAATTTGCGCCTTTCAGATTTTTGAAAAAGTTTATGTTCATGGCTTACTAGATATTTCGAAAAAAAAACAAATTTCGGCTATTTTAAAAATTGTCCATAATTCCATTATAATCTATTTTAGACAAACAATTTCAGATAAAAGTTATAGATAATCACATCCTTAATGAGATAGTGTCCTTCGTTTTTTTCTAAAGCCTGTCATTTTTGACATATGACACAAAGATGTTTTTTTAAATGGAAACCATAGTTTCCAAAAAGCGCCATTTTTTAAGCTTTTGAGCCATATAAGTTATAATATATGATTTTTTCGAAAAATAACTTAGTTAATAAATCCTTATCATTTTTAAACAATTTCACTTAGTTAGCCATGGAAACAAGTTCAAACGTCGTTGCTCTCAGGAATGTGAAACTGTCACATCCAAACTTTGCAAATTAAAATAAACAAAAATTGTAAATATGAATTTTACTAATGAAGAAAAGCGTATTGAATTATTAGTTCAACTTTTCTTGGCCATATATTTTCGAGGATACGTTGACCGGCGAACGTTATTATACTTGCGTTTTTTAGAGAACGGTTTTCAAGACATGTTAGAAAGGTTAATTAGATACTCGCTCATCAATAGAGTGGTTCCAACACGACTTTCATTATGACCCCCCCCCTCCCACCCAGAATGAAAGAAATGTTAAACATTATTTATATCATAATTATGTAAACTCAGGGATAGAAAGAGATGGACCAATTGCATGAGCCTCTTCCTAACCTATCCATTTTAGATTTTTTTATGCGGTATGTCTAGGTTTTTTTTTATGCGGGACAAGTGTTACAAAAGAACATCTGAATGAAGAGAGGCACACGAGGAGGCGGTACGGGAGAAATTTAAACGGGAGAATCAAAAAGATGCATTTATATTCAACAATATATTCTGTTATAAAAAGTTATAAATCATAATAAAATCAGAATACCACGCCAATTAAGTGAAATTAGTCAAGAAAGATAGGAACTGGCTATAACTTAATTAATTAACGTAATTTTTCGAAAAAAACATTATCGCTTAAAAACTTAAAAAATGGCGCTTTTTATGTAGTCATCATCACCTGTAGTTTTCATTTAAAAAACATATGTTTGTGTCATATGTCAAAAACGACAGGCTTTAGAAAAAATCGGAGAACACAAACTCATTAGGGATGTGATTATCTACAACTTTTATCTAAAAACTTTTTGTCTAAAATAGATTATAATGGAATTAGGGACAACTTTTAAAATAGTCAAAATTTGTTTTTTTCGAAATATCTAGTAAGCCATAAACTTTTTCAAAAATCTGAAAGGCACATATTTATGACCCCACAAAACTGCAATTCTTTCCCCATTTAACCGACTCTCTATCTCCATCAGTTTCCGAGATACCCATAGAAAAAATCGTAGAAAACTCACCCTGTAGGCCTGTATGAAGCTGCGAATTTTTGGCACAATATAATCTTTATTTTTTATTTGCCGTATACGCATGCATATATAGGTATATATATATATATAGTTAAATAAATTGGCATACAATCTGTTTACTGCATATCGGCATTTTGCTTTTAGTTAATAATAGACTGAACTTTATCTATACTTTATCTTTATCTATATTATATGTATAACAGTGATTACAAAATATTTGTGTGTGGTCAAAACATCGAAATTGTGACACTGTGCAAAGAGTAACGAGTTGGTTTTAACCTGTTTTTCTGCCTATCTCAATTCTATAGTGCCGATCCTCTGGCCTCTGGTAATACTGTATTCAGTGCTTCAGAATCTGAAATTTATTTTTCAGTATCAGAATTTATTTTAGGCCTTTGTTTTTCTATAATATCCACTTCTCGTTCTTCCTTTTCATCGTCATGTTCAGTAGTTAATTCGTCATCTTCGTTCAAACAGTCTTGCATGAGCTCTTGCAATCTTTCTTGTTTTAGCATCTTAGGTTACCAGATTTTCGAATTATCGGGAAAAATAGGTACCTACCTGCGGACTGTGAGATCGCGTGCGAGAGTTAAGAAAAATCCTGATGATTTCGTCCATTTATAGGCTTCAGTTCGAAACGTCGAGGGCGTCATCCTGTCCCCAATTATAATAGACCCGAAATAGACTTTTCTTCAATATCAAATCGTTAGTCCCACCCCGATGAAGATGTAAACGAAACGTCGTATACAACCTTGCAGGGTGGGACCGTGTGCACCGTTGTTCACATAGCCTACCCACCAAATTTGGTCACGATCGGACGACATGAACTTTTGATGTTTCTTACGTCAAAACTAAGACACTTGTCGTGCACGGTCAAGTTGGCCTTGGTCCAATCTATCGACATACCAATTTCATTTAAATCGGACGATTTTTTTGATTTGATTCATTGATAATGGGGTTTGTTGAGCAAATGTCATAATAATATCATGGAAAGATAACCTAACCTAACCTAACCTAACCAAAATCTACATTCCCTGTTTCGGCCCCTTGGCTCACATACGACCCGAGTTACGACGCTCCAAGATTATTATCACTTTTCCTCTTGCGTTTCGTGTGTCACGGCCATGTCGTCTTGTGTTGATTTTCGTCTGTGTTATATTATTTTGCGCCTGACTATTGCTTGTAGGTATTTTTTTATATTCTATTTTATCACTGTCACTATTTGTATTTAAAAACCATCGATATTTTTGTCTTTTTCCAGTTATAATATGTTCTATATCTAGATCCGACCAATATGGCTTTTACTTTCTGTATATTCATAAAGTCCCAATGCCGCCAGGCAGCGCAGCTGAGTGTATACTGTTTTTAATGTATTTGTGATATATCATGTCAGGGTCTTCAAATCATCGTGCATTTACTAATTTCTCATCTAGGCGTAATCAGTAGTAATGAAAATAAATTGGATATTATGCTTGAGTTTGAGGAAAACCACTATACCTTTAGTTGACAAACGGCCCGAGTGTCCGCTGTTAGCCGTTCATCGAACATTAACTAACACCTACAACTAAGAATCTCATGGAAGACTATTTGACAATATAGTTGACCTTAGCCGTTGTTACACTCTGTATAAATAGTTCATGGTGTAAAGTGAGCAACAACTTTAAATACTAATAGGTGGATTGGATAAATTGTAAAATAAAACAAATACAGGGTCGCTGCAAAGTATACGAGGCAAAGTATACGAGGCCCCGCTAAAAGTTAAATACAAAAGTTATGGGTTTTTAAATGCCTATAACATCATGTAATAAATTTAAGTATACAGGGTCGGTCACAAAGGCGTTGCACCCCAAAGATTATTTTTTTAAATAGTATCCTCTGTATATTATTGGGTATTTCAATTCTTCCTTCAATTTTAAGCAAAAATTGTAACACAAAGTACCTAAATCCAACCGTTTCCGAGATATCGAGTTTTGGTTTTGAAATGTTAAACGAAAATATTTTAATTTCCAGACTTGATATAATCTCATTTTATACATCTATAAATGCTAACTTGAAAACGAATGTCAAATATTATTAAGTATCACAGTTTCCGCAGAATGGCATCGTTAAATAAAACCGAACACATCGAAATTAATTAAATCGAATTGTTTAAGTGACATTTTTAAAAGTCAATAACTCGGAAACGGTTGGTTTGAGGTACATTGTGGGTATCTCGATTTTTGCTTAGAATTGAAGGAAGAATTGAAATATGCAATAATATACATGGGTGCTACAACTTTATGACCGACCCTCTGTACTTAAATTTATTATTCGCCAATAGACATTTAAAATCCTATAACTTTTCATTTGTGTTGGTGTGTTATCTTATTAACGGATAATCCATTTTTATTGGCCATTAATAAAAAAAGGAATCTTTCAAAATAAAGTGCTTAAAAAATATCATGACCCAAAAAAAATCAAATTGATAGCTAAATTAAATCTTAAAATAATAAATAAGGAGTTTTATGTGAAAATCCCTGTAAAAATATTTTTTTCCGAGACCTACTAGTATACTGGGTGGTGCATCGTCGTTGAAAACACGAAATCCCATGCAAATTTTGAACTGTTCAAATATTGGCTCCCCTATTGATTTTACAGCAAAGTCGTAAATAATTTTTTTAAATGTTTATGTAAGGTAAATACACATGCCAAATTTGAACAATTTTGGACCAGCCGATTTTGAGTAATATAAAAACGATTGCAAATGTTTTTAAATTAAAACCGTAACAGTTAACAATCAAACATACCAATCATTGGTCAGGTAGGTTTACAAACTATGATTTTGTCATTGTCAAAAGTATCTAATTTAGGCTGTATTCCGTTGCAAAACCAGGCGAACCAGACCGGTAAACTACGGTAAAGAGCGGTTCCTGAAAAACATCGGTTTGATACGGAACGGTTTGGTAAAATTTTGGAAACGTCAAATGTTGACGTTTTCTAAATTTCAATACCTCTATTATAAAATTTATCTTTTATGCATTTTTAATGTACTCTCTGCTTTTACGTTTGCTTCTTCTTTTCAATGAAGTTTAATATTTAAGTACTTTATTATAATAATCTGTTAAATTCGTTAGACAGTTCAAGTTAAGATTTGAAGTCCAATATTAAAACAGATCAATAATAAATAAGCAAATCTAATCAATATGTTTTCTTGTGTTTCATGTTTTCTTTAAATGTTTCTGACTTTAAGAAACAATGGCTGCATGATAAATTTAAATGGTCCTAAAAAGTGATTCTATTTAGTTAATGAAATTTATTTACTTTTACTGTCTACCTCCATTGCTTTTGGATGTAAATACAAAATATTGGGTCCGGTGAACTATCCTGACACACGATTTTTGCATTTTTCTTTTTTTTATCAAAAAGTAACCATTTTTAGAAGTAGTTTTAAATAAAAATAAATGGAGATTATACACGGAATTTTGAAATATTTAAATTTAATTTTAGCAGTTTTTGAAACATATTTGACATTATGGAGAATTTTAACATTTGATTTAACATGACAGCAAAAGGAAAAGCAATATTGCCAGTTGCACTGAATTTTCTTTTTCTGTTTTTATTTTTATTTTGAAAAAATAGCCATTTTTAACTTTGAATAAGAAGACTAAGGAAGGAGCATAATGCTATCCATGTATTCATGCATGGTGGGCGGAAAAAGCGCCATAAAAGCACTCTAGGGTGGGGATCCTTGACAGTTCTGTTTGACGATTCATTTGACACATTTGAATTTGATTTGAAATTTTGTGGATTTGTCAGTCTTTACGGAGCTTATTTTATGTTATTTATTATTTATTCTACTACTGATAGTTGTATAAAGGTAGTAAATCTAGATGGAAATTGTGGCAGAACTTAAATTAACAGTGACACTATCGCGATTTATCGAAAAAGACTCTAAAATAGTTGGTTGTGTAGCGTGCGGTAGATCTCGGCAAAAATTGAGTGAAATAATGGAACAACTTTTCGCTAGTAAGTGACTATATAATATTCACACGTGTAGTAAACCGATCATTTATGAAATTCACTTAAATTAACTAAATTATATATTTTTCTTGCATTTTAGCTTTTATTTATTACTTGTCAAAGATTAGATGTCAAAGAATTTAGATACGTTAATTTGACTTACCTGCTTCAGTAGCGTATCGGATGTTTGTGGTAATAAATACTTATTATAACTTATCTATTTTTATTAGAATTATATTTTTTTATAACAATTTTAATAACTACCAACATTTATTCACAACGTAAAATAAAACAACAAATTATTGAGTCTACCCCACGTCTACCCTACATCATAGTTTTACATTTTTAAATAAAATTAGAACGACACTGATAAACCGGAATTTAAGTCGGCCATATTTGAGGCCCATCGCAGTGTACCTAAGATTTTTGATATGCTCCTTCATTAGTCTTCTTATTCAAAGATTTTTAATAATAAAAATGCGTTGGAAATGTGTGAATGGGAAAACTAAAAAAAAACAACAAAAGAGTGAAACTTACGCGTGTTTTGTTTGCGTTTGTTTCACTCTTGTTTAAACCAAAATATCAATCAAACAGATAAAAAGGAAAAAAAAACAGCCAAACCAACCCAAACTAACTCGACCAAACCCTAACCAACTCATACAAAACCAACCAATATAAAACCCAACCAACCAATACCAAACCAACTCAACCCGAGTCAAACAAAAACGAAAGAAATGAAAACACGCTTACAGCGTGTTTTCTTCGCTTTGATGGCTTACAGCTTACAGCGTGTTTTCATTGCTAGAACTATAACTATCGCAATTGCCTCGCCGGCGCGGCGGTAATTTAGCCAATTTGATAAACTAAAGTAATGTAATTCGTTTTAAAAAAAACATTTTAAAACCTATGACGTAATTTTTTTCCCTAAAAAAAGATGCATGAAATTCCGGATAATTTACTAGCTGATCTGACAACCATGTATCAATTCGCAATATTTGTCAAAAAACTCGATCTTCACTACTGTCAGCGTAAACATAGAAACGAATATAAACAAGTCCGCCACTCTTTCATTATCGGTTATGGAATTTGCCCGGGAATGTGCTATAAAAATAAAATAAAAACATTTTTAAGAATGTTTTTTATGTGAAACGTGTTTTTCCACATCAGATTTTAGTCAAATAATCCAAGAAATTCATTTTAAGGTAACATAAGCTTCATTTTCTAGGAAAAATCGTGTGTCAGGATAGTTTACCGAAGCTCAAAATATTTTTACAAATTTTAAAAATTAAATGAGAATTTCACTCGAACTTCTAATATATGCTTGATTTCTGTCACATAAATGACATTGATTGACAAACAAAACCAGAAGCCTTCAAACTAACCAGCCTCGTCGCGCTGGTTAGTTTGGTGACAGTTATAAGCGAATTTTTCAGGAACCGTGTTGCGTAATAAGAAAACTTTCAGGAAACCGATAGAAACGGAACATAAAACCATAACCAAGGCAAGCAACGGTATCTGCGGAGGCTGCACAAGTTCTGAGCTCAATGGCCCCGATAGACATAGTAATTGAAGAAAGAATGGAAATGCAAGAACATTCAGGAAGAACAGCGGAAGAAAGTAGAAATAGAGTTCTGGAAATATGGTGTAAAAGATGGAGTCAAAACAGAAATGGGAAAGGTAAATGGACTAGAACACTTATAAAGAACCTAGAGTGTTGGATAAATAGAGAATATGAATATGGCCACGGTTGTTTCAGGTATTACCTACATAAAATAAAGTTAGCTGACTCCGATGCTAATACGGTGGAGCATACTCTTTTGGAATGTAACCGATGGACAGCTGAACGAAGAGTTCTATACGAAAAACTAAGAGTCCTAAAAATTAAGATTTCCGATCTAGTTCCAGAGATGATTCGATCCCCAGAAAATTGGAATAGTGTTCACACTTTTATGGAGACACTAATAGATGCAAAAGAGAAAGAAGCTAGACGAAGTAACTAAAACATCGGCAGTAAAACCGCCTCCGCGAGAAGTAATGCCGAAAGGTAGTTCCTCGGGGAGATATTCAAAGCGGCTTGTGGAGGTTTTTTAGTCGGTAACGTACCTTAACCACCCCGATAGTATCACATAGTCTCTGGTTTGCAGATTTTTCCCCACAAAAAGAAGGTAAGCAACGGAATACACCCTTAATTTTAATATTCAGTGGAAATTAAGCGAATCATGTCAGATACATTGTCTAAGCTATTTCCCGTATAGTACCATTTCATCATGCTGATTTTTTCTTTGTGTGTATCACAATAAATTATTACTAGTACTGAATATTAAAGTTAAGTTACGTTTGAAAATGACGCTGACAACTTAAGTCATGTCGGTTTTTGACTGGTGTTTGATTGTTACTAAACTTGGCATGTGTGTTTACCTTTACCATACTTAGAGCTTAAAAAAATCTATTTACGACTTCGCTATAAAACCAGTAGGGGCGCGGGCGCCAATAAGGACAGTTCAAAATTTGCATGGAATTTTCTGTTTCCAACAACGATGAACCACCCGGTAGATAGTGGTATTACGGTATTTAGAATGGATGGATTTTTGATAAATAAACGGCACTAAAAATATATTTTAAAACTACAATTTCTGTTTAAAAATAATTTTGAATCACACAGTATATTAAAACCTAGATTAAAACTTAAAAAAAATATTTTCAAATCAATGCTCTAATTGATATTGCTTGATTAAAGCACTATGCTTGAATAAATCATGAATTAGATGTGGATTTTATGATCGGTAATTATTTATTTTTCTGTCATTGACTTGCGGGGAATTACGTTGTATGATAATGAAGATCGCAGATGTTTTTTTAAACCGGTCGTTCTGTTAGATACTTGCGGTAAGCGTTAAAATGTTGAGATAGTTTCCTGCAGTAACCGAAAACGAACATATCGTCATCGTTATTACATTGTTGTAAACAGTATTCGGTATTTACTTGAATGCAAACGTAGTTAGATTAAAACTTAAGGTTACTTATTTGTGTAGTTTTGTGAATGTACTAATACAGTTTTATCAATATAATTAAGGTAAGCTAAAGCATATTGTTTATAAAGGACTTTTCCATTTTCACACAACACGTTCTTTAAAAGATTCTTGGGACCTTATTTACATACAAATATGAACCACAGATATGAACCTTTTAGGTTAAGGATATTAATTTTTTCTACATTCACTTTTCGCTTAACAGGAAAGTGGTTATCAAATTTTAAATTCTGGAATGACCTATTTATTTCAGATATTTTATAAAATTATAAATACATTTTGTGTATAACATCTGTATTTTGAATAAAAAGATTTATGGAGTCCAAAAAAACTGAACCTCAACTAGGTTTAAGGAGAAAAGTTTTTTAAGCTAAAAGCTGGATTTATAACTTTTAATAATATACTTTTCAGTTGAAGTACATTATATCTGGGGTTCAGTTTAGTAGGTGAATCGCAGCTAGAGAGCAGAATCCCGAAAGAAATTTTCAATCCCGGGATTTCGGGATTATAATTTTTCGATACCAGGATTGGTCCCGGGATTCACGAAAAACATTAATTACGTTGAAACTATATTATATTTTCTTTCTTAACAAAATTTTATTGACCAAAAAAAAACATTAACATAAATTAAACGTCATCCCCATCATTACAAAACAACATAATAACCGGGTGCGACTCAAAAGTGGCTCACCTCTATAACTTTTTTTTTATTTTTTCAGTTAAAAAAACGAGATTTCGTATGTTAGTATATGACATAAATTCGGATTGTTTCCAGTCGATATTACGGACACTAAAAACGTTAAATTTTCCATACAGATTAGGTAGAAACATTGAATATTAGCACTTTCTTACATTATATAGATGTGGATTGACCTAGTTTAAGCACAAAAATTCAAGAAAACCTCTTTGTAAGCGTAAAAATAAAGAAAATACATGTATTTACAATATTCCGAGCTAGCAACCATTGACTTTTTGATTGACAGTTGATCGACGGCCTTCGCATGCTATTTGTGACGTTGTCAATATAATTATTTTATATAATTTTCTACTGAAGTGAGGTTATGTTAGATATTCTTTTATTTTTCTTTGTGGAGGGTGTCAAGCTGTGGTTTTTATATTTTAATAATTAACTGTGATTTTGCAAAAATATTATTAAATTGGTTAGCATTTGGGTTGCTTTGGTTAGCTTTTCTTTGCGGAGGGTGTTAAGCTGTGGTTTTTAAATTTTAATAATTAACTGTGATTTTGCAAAAATATTATTAGATTGGTTAGGATTTGGGTTGCTTTGGTTAGGTTTTCTATGGTGGTTAGGGGGGTTAAGCTGTGTTTCTTTTATATTTTAATACGAATCTGAGTGCTTTCAATGATTAGATTTTAAACACAGATTTTAAAATAATTCATTTGTTTTTAACGTGATGGCGCCACCGTAGGAGCCGTTCCTCCGACGACCGGCACGTGAAAAATTGGCGTAAAATAGCGGCAACGTCGCACAGGTTAATGTCATCATATATTTGTGCCATCTGTCAAAATTCCTCCCCAGCATCAAATAGTACCATCGTTTTATTTAAATATTTTAAAATTTACTGGACAATCCGCAAATTTTTTTGGCTTAAATTACCTACTAAAACACGTACTTTTGAGGACAATTTTTGTTTTTTTAAATTCTTGTGTCCGTAAAATCGAACGGACCCTTCGGATTGATTGACGTATTCAATTGTTTTCGGTCACTTCCTGTTTCACTGGAAATGACTACAACTTTTGATTTTTAAATGGCACCTTCGGTATTTTTTTACTATATTCAATAGAACATAACACTCTGAATAGAAAATCAAAAGTTGTAGTCATTTCCGGTGAAACAGGAAGTGACCAAAAACAATTGAATACGTCAATCAATCCTAATTTATGTCATATACTAACATACATATAGTAAACGCCACGAATGTTTGGGAGTGATTCATCGGTTGCTACCATGTGAACTAATCTGTTCAAGGTCACATAAAACTTAATTCCAGTGCCGTGTTGTTTCAAGTCATATAATAATCAATATATATTCTGTTGTTTATGTTTTTGTGCATGAAATATTAAAATTATGATTATTGATGAATATTACAAAAATATTTATTAGTAACAAATTACTTAAAAAAGGAATATTGAAAACTTTTCAATGAAAATGAGGTTTCGCCAGTTGATATGCATGGGGTTCCTAAAATGACGAAATTCATAATATTCTGCTGCATTATTCATCACAATGTATTGAATATGATGTTTGTTAATAAAATTATTTCCTTAACATTGATAAAAATATCCAAATTTATACTAAAATACAAAAATAATCAATAATAATTCCAGCAAACTGTCAAAGTCTTGTCAAAACATATATTTGGTTATAAATATAAACTGGAATGCCCCATTGGCCGCACTGCAAGCACACCAATGGACTGACGCACAAAAACGAATCAATCAAAGAAAAGCGATATAGTATTGTCTTTTTCAATCACGCTAAAATTTTAGAATAAGTAGGAGGAGCGCAGGCAGATGATTAGACCGGACCTTTAAAACCTACGTCTGCGGTAAAAATTTAGGTTTTTAAGGTAAAAATGATAGCGCGCGTGTCGATTCTAACTTCATCAAGCGATGAATCACTCCCAAACATTCTTGGCGTTTACTTTACCAAATCTCGTTTTTGTATCTGAAAAAACAAAAAAGTTATAGGGGTGAGCCACTTTTGAGACACACCCGGTATAAGTTTATTTAACATAAAAAACATAGGAACTAAAATATACATTTATTAATTTACATAACGAACAAACACAGCATAACACAGGATTATGTAAGATACTAAAATAACAACTTATGAACTTCAAACTAGTTTTTTGAAAAGAAAATCTTAAAAAAACAAGCTGATCAAGAGTATTATCACTCAAACTAGATCTAATTTTACTGCACAACATTCCAGCAATAGAGAAGGTCCTTTCTGATTCCACACTCGGAGGAATTTGTCATACATTCAGGGTTGTTTATAAACGCATATTGTACTATCATGAAAGACTTGTGTACGATTTAAATTAAGGAAAAAATGTAATGATGAATCCCGAAAATCCCGGGATATAAAAGACAATCCCGGGATTTCGGGATCGAAAAAATGTCCGGAATCCCGGGATCCCGTTTTCTGGGATTTATTATTTATTATTTTTTTTTAATTAGGGAAAATCGCAGCAACTGAGGGTCAACATTTTTATATTAAAAAAAATCTCAAGTTTCGGTTGCCTACAAAGCGTTACCGCTAAAGGGCTGCCGTACTTTGACGGTGAAATGGTGTTATGGTATTATTGTAAAGTCCAATTCAAATATTAATTACCCAACGTCAAAAACGTGCTTCCAATATCCCACCGCAGAATGCGCTCCAAAATCATAATATAATACGGATAAAACGGATAAAAATAAAAAAAAAACTTGCTCCACAAAGCGCCGCATCATACAGCTCACGTTCTTCTATAACATATTAATTTGATTATATTCTATAAAATATATCAAATATTCATTATTATTAAAATGCTCAGTTAGTTTTTGGATACACATTCTAAGGCAGTGATTGCCAGCCATTTGAGCTGTGATCACAGCCATCATCGGTGTGTCAAAATTTTAAAAATTATTTTCGTGGCGTACACATCACAAAAGGAAAGACTAAAAAATGATCGATCTGTTCTTTCTGGCATCAGTCCCGTACATTTCAGTCCATATGTCTTCAAATGGACGACTACTACTACTACTACTTACAATTCGTTTATCAATCAGTTTTTTTAGAATTAAATTATCATTAACATAAGTAATTAATATTAATAATAAGCAGAAAAAAAAGATGCGTGTCGCTAAAAATGAGTGCCCTTTGGAACGAAAACGGGGAAGATACCGGGTGCGCTTCCAAAGTGGCTCACCCCCTATAACTTTTTTATTTTTTCAGATAAAAAAACGTTATTTGGTCTGTTATTATATATGACATAAATTAGGATCGATTGACGTATTCAATTGTTTTTAGTGTACTTCCTATTTCACCGGAAATGACTACAACTTTTGATTTTTAAATGGGACCCTCGGTATATCTATATAGAAAATGACACTCTGAATAGAATGATATATCATATGTCAACTTTTGACATTTTCGCTTAAAAATAAATCATATTTTAAGTTTCAATCTAGAGTGCAATGGCTGTGTTCAAAACAATGTTTTTCTTGTCTTGTCCTAGCCGGTTAAAAATTGCCCAAATCGAATTTTTAATAATATCTCAAGTTTTTCAAATGGATCAAGGGTGGCTCATTAGCATATTTGGAAGAAGCATTTTTTACGAATAATTTGGTATTTCGAGTCAAATTGTCGTTAGGAACATAGAAACCACATGTTACAATTTCAAATAAACCATATACGAAAATGTCAAAAGTTGACATATGATATGTCATTTTATTCAGTGTCATTTTCTATCAAATGAAGTAGAAATATACAGAGGGTGCCATTTAAAAATTAAAAGTTGTAGTCATTTCCGGTGAAACGGGAAGTGACTAAAAACAATTGAATACATCAATCATTCCTAATTTATGTCGTATACTCACAGACCAAATCTCGTTTTTAAGTTATAGGAGTGAGCTACTTTTGAGACGCACCCGGTATGGTGAGAATCAATTAATCCAGTCAATCATAAGACGTGTCTATAAAGTGCATTTTTCAATGAAAATCGTAATTGAATAAAGATCAGGATTCTAGAGTTCAATAGTCGTCAAATTCTAGATAGTCGAGAAATCATTAATTAAATAACGGGAAATTCCTGCTAAGCATTGAATAATTAAACTCCAGTTTGTTTTTTTTATTAGGCACAGATGTTAATATATTGTAAGCTTCGTGCAGAACTTAAATACATACTGCTATTCGGGAGCAATATGGATTTATAACAGTATAGTAAAACTCGGTCGTAAAATTTATGTCTCTTATGAATTATGACAACTATGTCAACACTTTTCAATTGTTATTCATCTCGTCATATCCTACTTTACT